TTGCTGTTCTTATTTCTACATTTTTGCAGTTCCTTAGCTAGAAGGCATCCCCTATAGTTTGCTGGGTGGGCCTCCAAGCAATTGGAACACTTCGCTGCAGTATTCTTTGGCTTACTACAATCTGATGTTAAGTGCCTGCCTGCACATTTAACACAATTCGGTTCTCTCTGGCAAAATTGTTGTGTATGCCTATACCTTTGACACCTTTTAAACTGCGGAATGGTCCTATCCTTTCGAAGTGCCTCTATCCTAACTTTTATCTTGTTTATGTGATCGATTTCATAAATTTTTTTCATCTCCTCTTCATTTGAGAATGTTAACATAAAAAGCGGTAGAGGCACCATAATGTTTTCTCACTTTTTTTTATTTTTTTAATTTTATTGGTTACATCTAAGATCTTGTAACCCCAAGAGCTTAGGTCTTCTTTTATATCATCCGGTTTACAACTTTGGTGAAGATTTCTTACCATGACTTTTATTGGTCTGGCCTGCTTGTTTTCATAAGTATGCCATTCTACTCCAGATCCATTCATGGCCCTGGTAAGATTCCGGTAGTCCATTTCGGAATTAACAATAAGCTTAAATTGATTGTTATTCATCAATCATTCACAATGTTGACTCTATTTGAAAATGGTCAACCACATTAGTCAAAAGGAAAGAAAATTATGACGTTATACATTTTCTCATTGTTCAAAGTTTTTTTAAGTTTTGTAAAATAAAATATTCTGTTTTAAAAACTTTTAAAATTAGTGATTGGCTCCAGCAAGTGATTTGGACTATTGAGTGTTTGAATATTGACTAGTTCTGAGTATCGATATAAAATATATTTCAAATATAAAATATATTTGACTAGATCGACGAATATAAAATATATTTCAGTATCCAATATATTGAATAATATTTGTATTAATATATTAAAGAATATATTATATATTAAATTAAATTTGTATTAATACTTACAAAATTATACCTTATACTACTTATTTAGAATATTAAAATTTAAAACTCAACTTATAAAGTACTTAAACTAAATAAACTTAATTCCAGATAGAGCATACAAATGAAAATAAGACAAATTTATTTATAAATATTATGTATATATAAATAAACCTTTTTTTAGTTGTACTCTACTTTGCGACAAATCAATAATATTTTTATATTCATTAAAGTTAATAAGCATTTTATTTATTAGTTCGCATTTCTCACAATTTGTCGAATGAAAGACCTTATTAAATATATTTTTTGACCTTTTGGGAAGGGGACTTAAAGAATCATGCTAGTTTGGACCTAACAAAGTTTTTCTGAATCGCCTTAAATATTTTTTTACTCGAGTAATGAGAAATCCATTAAAGAAATCGGCAAATTGGAAAACTTTGAAAATGACTGAAACTATCACAGTTAATTCTAAAGGTATTGCTAGAACATTGAGCTTGAAAAATTTTGCCGAAAGAAATTTGTAATATCTATTGAATTATTAGAAAACAATCCCTTATAATTCATAAAAGATGGATACTGATCAGACTTTCTCTTGAAATTAACATAACAGTTTAAAGAGATATACAAGTACATTATTCCTATATCCATTTCTATGCCTTAAATACAAGTTCCTGTGCCCTGTTCTTATTGTTTCTCAATTTTTATACCCTGCACTTCGTGAAGGGTATATTAACTTTGGTATGGTCATCTGCGGTATGGACATATATATATATTCTTGCTCAGCGTAAAATTCTGCGTTGATTTAGACATGTCCGTCCGTCCGTCCGTCCGATCGCACGATAACTCAAAAACGAATAATGCAATCGACACCAAACTTTCACAAGTTGCTTCTTTTGTGCCAAGGACGAACCCTATTGTTATTGGACCAATTCGGACAACGGGTTCGGGTAGCTGCCATACAACTCAAAGAGTTTATTTTAATTATTTCAAAAACTAATAAAGGTATAAATATAAAATTTTGTATATATGTGTCCAATTATTTTCTACATATGCTCTAAAAATTTTAATGAGATAGCTGCACCGGTTCGGGTGGCTGCCATACAACTCCAAAAGCTTATTTTAAATATTTGGAAAAATAATAAAGTCAGATTCATGAAACTTGGCAGTTGTGTGTCCAATTATAGGTCAAAGATATTTGTGAAGTTTTGTAGGAATTGCTTGACAGGTTCGAGTGGCTCCCATACAAGTCCAAAAGCTTATTTTAAATATTTGGAAAAATAATAAAGTCAGATTCATGAAACTTGGCAGTTGTGTGTCCAATTATAGGTCAAAGATATTTGTGAAGTTTTGGTGGAATTGCTTGACAGGTTCGAGTGGCTCCCATACAAGTCCAAAAGCTTATTTTAAATATTTGGAAAAGTAATAAAGTTAGATTCATGAAACTTGGCAGTTGTGTGTCCAATTATAGATCAGATATATTAGCGAAGTTTTGGTGGAACTGCTTGACAGGTTCGAGTAGCTCCCATACAAGTCCAAAAGCTTAGTTTAAATATTTGAAAAAATAAAGAAGTTAGATTCATGAAACTTGGCAGTTGTGTGTCCAATTTTAGGTCAAAGATATTTCTGAAGTTTTGGTGGAATTGCTTGACAGGTTCGAGTGGCTCCCATACAAGTCCAAAAGCTTATTTTAAATATTTGGAAAAGTAATAAAGTTAGATTCATGAAACTTGGCAGTTGTGTGTCCAATTATAGATCAGATATATTAGCGAAGTTTTGGTGGAATTGCTTGACAGGTTCAAGTAGCTCCCATACAAGTCCAAAAGCTTACTTTAAATATTTGAAAATATAAAGAAGTTAGATTCTTGAAGGAAAATGCTTGACTGAGAACGATGTAAGAACTTCTCACCATTTCATCGAGGTCTAAATTAGAAAAAGAGAAACGAAATTCGAAAATAATTATTTAAAGATGTGAAGGTGGTTCATGAAAAGTTAGATTTGAAACAAGTATCCAATAAATTCTCACTCTTAAAATTATAAAAGTAAGAGCAACAAATTGGAGGATGACAATTATCGGTATACTAAAGTCATTAACTATTAAATTACATCAATTAGTACTAAAAATCCAGCTGTTTGTTTTGAAAATTAACTTTGTTAGAAATTTGTTGGGGGAAATTAAAGTTTAAACTATCTATAAAAATTGCTTCGGAATCATTTGCAATATGATCAGGTATTAAAAAATATTCCTCATCATAAGGCGTTCAGGAAATATTTGAAATATTAAAATTTCCAAACACAAGTAATTCCTTATCTGAACTTATGAGAGAGATAACATAATCAACAGCCTCAACATAGGTCTCAAATATTCAGCTAGGAGGAGTGCAGTAATTCCAAAAACGAATATTGCTGCAGATCTATTTGATTTGTATGGAAGGTATTTTTAATCAAAAATAGGACTCCCCCACCTTTTGTGATCAAAGCTCTATATACAAATAGTTCAAGAGGATCCTGTGACAAATATCACAATCTAGGACAACTGAATTGACAAAAACCTCAGATGTTTTAGTACGTGAGCCTCTAACATTTTGATAATGAATAGAAGCAGCAGTGGATTGAACATTTATGTTAGTTTATAGTTACTGTTATAGTACTATCTACGTTTACCGTGTTGTAGCTAGGAATGAAAATATTTGCTATGGTCTTCTCTGCTTAATTGAAAATGATTCATTCTCTTATTAGCAACATGACCACGGTAAGGCCTTGGATCCGTTTGGCTTTGGAACATACCCATTTTCTCATGGAACTTTATGTAGAAATGTTTTCAACTTTGAACATCATATGGCAATCCCTCCTGCTGCATCACGACCTTAACATTGGTCTTCGTTTCCCCATCAAAACAAACGTAAATGTCTCGGCCATGCAAGTAAGACAAAAATAGTCCAACGTTCTCATAAATCCTATGATCTCTTAGACGAGAAAATACGTACTTGTCATCACCCTCCTCAATTATTGAATAAAAATTATCACAAGTGTTTTTTTTTAAATTTAGGTTTTCACAAGTATTAAATTCCAATGGACTTACAATATATCAGATAGACCAAATATAAGAATACATGAAATTTTAAACTCATATCTATTGCTTTCATACAATAGAATGTTTTTACCTAACTTTTCATAAAAGTTATATAAAAATTGTTCATAAAATATGAAAAATAAAATATGTTTTCATTAAAATAAAAATAAGAAAAGTTTTACATAACTAATGAACTTACCTAACTTTTAATTTAATTTTTTTTGATTTCGCTATTTTTGATACCCTCGTTTGCTTACAATATTTTGCGCTTTTCTTGTTGACACAAGTCTTATTACCGTTTATTTCTGAACAAAAATGGAATATTTTGAGCATAGTGAAGTGAAATGCAAAAGAAAACTAATGGCTTGGAACGAGTCGAACTATTTCTTAAATAGATATACTTCGCTAAAAATGCTTGATGAAAATAAATAGCAAAAAGAAAAAAGATTGCTTTTATCATCAATATTTTCTTCAAGTCTTTTCATTCCTTACGTAATGCTTTAACGAAATATATTGGCACATAGTATACCTATGCATATATTCAACTTTACATAGTAAATTCATGATTTGTACAAGCATCAGATCAAAATACTTTATGTGGGGTATTAAAATTATATTTATCAACGACAAATATTTTGTGGTATTAATACTTAATCTTTTCCAGTCATTAGACTTGTACTGCTTAGAATTTAAAACTCATCATCTGCCTTTCGTATCTAGAAATTTACGTTACTTCACGTGGTGTTAAAATAATAAACTGCCATCAATTTCTATTCAATTTTCTTAGTGCATTTTAAAATTTAACCTACTTAGCATAAGGCCTAAATAATAATATTTGGGAAAATACTTAGTAATTAATCACCTTGTAAGTATAATGTGAGAATTGCTTTTTACTTACATTAATACCTTAGTAGCTATTTGGGAAACATTAATATTTATATTATTATATAAAACTTATTATATTATTTTATAAAATTAACATAAAGACAACTTACTGGGAGAGTTTTAATGAATAATTTCATATGATCTGGGCCGGTTAAAGAGTATTCATATCGAATCCTAGTAGCATTCTCATATTCACTTTTTACCAATTTCCTCGATTTTGTTTTCAAAAGTGGAACTCTGAAATATTGATACAATTAAATTCCAAGCATTTTTCAGTGTGTAAATATGTTTCACCTGATTAGTAATGGAGGATTAGCTGGTATCCATAAACTAAAATGAAAAAAAGTATGTAATATATTCGAATTGAAATGCGATCTTATTGAATTGGTTTACTCGTCTTTTTTAGGATAGTTTGGACTACCACAATTGATATGAGAATCGCAAAGTTTATCAGCCGTTTCTACAAAAGTCATATTTAAAACTGTGTCTGAAATGGAAGAATAATGATCATTTATTATCCAGTTTTATTTTTTCCAGTACTTATGATATTTTTCAACATTGGGTTAAAAACCTTACTGAAAATAAAATTCTGGCTGTTTTGAATTTAAACGTTATTAATAGAAATTAGTTTTTCTAAACTTTTTCAATGTTGCTTTTTTGAAATGTAACACATACTAAGCTGTTTGGGTGGTTCTATAAATATAAGAGATATGGGCACACACAGAGGTTTTGCCAGCGTCTAGCTCAATGTGTCAAGTGTGCTGGTCCTCATTTGAAGATAAATTGTAGTAAACAAAAAATTGATGCACCAAAGTGTGCAAATTGCTCTGAGGCTCATCCTGCGAATTACAGGGGTTGTATAGTCGGAAAGGAATTACAAAAACGGAAAAATAACCTTACAAAACAGAAACAAATAAAAATAATACCAAAAAATACTCCCAGAACTCCAAAAAGCCCAAAAACAACTACATTGAGTAAAAGAGTGCAAGGAATACAATATGCCCAAGTGCCGAGGGGTGAAACATAAACCATACCAAAGAACGGAAAGATCTACCACCTGAAAAACCTGCTGAAAGCAATATAAATACGAGTATAATGCAAAATAAGATAAAAGCTATGAAAAAAATCTCATTGGGATTGAACAGATTAGAAGACAAGCTTGATAATGTTTATATATGTACGCTAAAAAGAATAAAACATAACGGACGCAGATAAAACAAAAATTGCGACGTGGAACGCAAATGGCGTTCTTAATAGAAAGCCTATGTTAGAAATATTTCTAAGGACCCAAAATATTGATATATGTTTAGTAACAGAGACACATTTGAAACAGCAAACAGATATAAAAATAAATGGTTACATAGAATATAAAGAGGTGCATCCTAATAATGAATCAAAAGATGGTTGCGCAATTTTAATAAGGAATAATATAAAACATAATGAAATAAGTAAAGTAGAAAGAGACGATAGCCAATTTATTCTGGGAGATGATTGGGGTTCTAGATTGACCTCAACAAGAGAAACAGAGCTAAGAAAAGCTATTGAAGAGATTGATTGTCACTATCAATCCACTCGTAGACCAACATATTGGCCAAGTGATAGAGGTAAAATACCAGATCTGCTAGACTTCTTTATTGTCAAGAAAATCTCACGAAATTTTATTAATTTAGAAAATAATTATGACTTGGATTCTGATCATTCTGCAGCTATATTAAATTTAACTGAGACAGTTACCAAGAAACAAAATAAGCTCATGTTAATCAATAAATCCACTGACTGGATTAGTTTTAAAGAAGAGATAGAGAATAAAATGAACTTAAGAATCAAAGTACGAACCCAAAATGATTTGGATTCTGAGGTTGAGAATTTTAATAAAATCATACAAAGCGCTGCCTGGAATAATACAAAATAATATCAGCATAAATCCGTGGGTATGGCTTGCCCAAGAGAAATAATAAATATGATAAGCGAAAAGGGAAGAGCTAGATGCAGATGGCAAAACTCACGAGATCCGGCAGATAAAATTTGCACTCAATCGAATCACTCAGAATCTAAACTCACGCAGAATCTAAAAAGAAAAATAAGAAAAATTAAAGAAGATTCATTTGATAATTACATTAAAAATTTGTCAGCCGAACAAGAAAGTAATTATTTCTTATGGAGGGCTGCAAAAATATTAAAAAGCATATCTTACATATCCCCCTATTAAGGGAACGGATGGCAAATGGGCAATAGAAAATAAGGACAAGGCTAATATTTCAGCAGATCATCTTGAACAAATTTTTAGGCCAAAAGGCATACGTTTAAACATAAATATTGCAATGAAAAATGTGCAGAATTTCAAAAATGAGCAGAAAACGTTATCGCTCAATTTGCACAAAGAGAAATAGTGAAAAAAAAAGTTTAAAGTCAAAGAAAACACCGGGTTATGATTTATTTACCTCTGAGATACTGAAGCAATTACCAAAAAAGGGTAGAACAATGTTGACTTTTTTAATGAATTCTGCATTAAGATTAAAATATGTGCCTAATGCTTGGAAGGTGGCAGAAGTTATAATGACACCAAAACCTGGTAAACCATTAAATGATATCAAGTCTTATACACCAATTTCTCTGCTACCAATTTTGTCGAAACTTTAGGCCTTTTAATAAACACAGTATATCGCGATATATAGAGAGAACTGCGCTATATTTGTGTTCATAAACAAATGTTGGTAATCAAGTTTGTTCACAAACATTGTTAATCTATCATAAAAATATTTAAATTACCATGGCTAGCGCAGTTAAATCAGCTGTACTTTTTTTTTTATTAGTTTTGGTATTTCTTTTTTTAACATTTTTAATTGTTAATTGTTGTACTTAAATATAACAAAATTTCTATTTGTTTCAGTTTTCTTTTTTTGTTTTTCCAGAAATAGAATTTTTCACTATTTGACCCAAAATAAATGATTGTTTTTTGTTAACGACATTTTTTGTTCATGAACACAATACTGCAAATTCAAAACAACAAAAATTTTTATACAACTGTTAAAAATATATTGCGTATGTATCACATTACTGCTTTGCACTATCGAGTTTATGAAAATACCTTTTTTGAAAAGTTATTACTGAAAAGAATGGGACCTATAATTGAGGAGAGGTCATTAATTCCGAACCACCAATTTGGGTTTAGAGCAGAACAATCAATTACTGATCAAATTCATAAAATTACAAATATTATTGAGAAAGCCCTAGAGGAAAAGCAAATTTGTGCAACAACAATATGTAGATATTCTCTCTTCTTATTTAACCGACAGATCATTTAGAGTCAAACAGGAGGGGACTATTCCACACTTAGAGACTTAAGAGCTGGTGTGGCTCAGGACAATATTTTGGGTCAAATAATATATCTGCTCTTTACGAGAGATATGCCTCAAATAGAAAATACAATTGTGGCTACATATGCTAACGTTACTGCAGTTATGGCAGTAGCACCAAATATTGACAATCTATATTAAAGAAAATTTGATGGTTAGTCTAAGGGGACTAGTATCAGAATATAAGGAGGAGGTTTTTATGATAAAACACATAACTAACTATGGGTTAACAGGGAATGGCATGTTAGTAGCATTCATGCTTTCCTCCTTCCTTCGATGACAAAAAAAAAAATTTCATGCAAAATCTTGAATGGAAATGACCTTAATTCTTTATGTATTGATTAATTATTTATTGCTAACATAATTATGAAAAAAATATGAAACAGAATTTTATAACGTAAAATTTAAATCAAAAATGTTGTAAAAGGATTGACACAAAAATTTAAGAAGAAAAATTGAAAATGAAATTGACACAAAATTTTGGAACATAAATTGAAAACTGTAGAATGGCGAAGATTACACGCTCAGTGTTCATTGCGTTTCGAAATTTTCTTTAGTAATTAAGTATTCAGTTAAAACATAAAGTGTTACCATTTGACAGTTTTTCAACAGAAGCACTGAGCTTAAACCCTTCGTCAATGAATTTGCAATATTTATAATTTCTTATTCACTACAAATTTTCACATTAAAAATACGAACTATGCTTGCAATATTTTGTTTTTCTTTTATACCTTTCGAATTTCTGCAAAAAAAGTTTCATAATAGTTGGATATTATGTTAATAGTTAGAAAAATTTCATAATGTCTGCTGAAATGTCGAAGTTGATAGAAACTTTGACCACAAGCGGTTGTCACAAAAAGTAATTTTGCAGCAACAATGTGTGGTGTAGATCGTGAAAGGCGAGCCAAAAAAGTGCTATAATTAAAACGGTCGAAAGGTCGTTCTTACGATTACCAGAGAAGATAACGATTACTGGCAACCTTTTGCCCGTAAACTAAAAGCTTTTAGACATCGAACTTCAGTGGAATTAAGATATCCCATCTGAAAAGAAGGTCATATATGGCGCCTATGCTATAAAATTATTATTATTATTATTCGGCTCAAAATTCACACTAGTTTAACAGACTAGGAATTTGAGAACGGTTAGATTATTATTCTAAATACAGCCATATCTGACAAGATGAAGAATTAACGACCCCATTTTCTTACTAGAGTGAAAAAAATAACAGCAAAACTGCTGGGATGTCTGAGAACGTTAATCAGTATACTAATCAATAAAATTAAAGAAAAGGGGATTTTAAATAATTCAAATATGCACTAAAAGTTTTAAATCAAATCTCAAATGTCCTTTCACACATACAAATTAGAACTGAATTATCGAACTTGTACAAGTTAAATAAACTTGTTTTAAAAGTGTAAATAAACTTGTATTAATACAACTATGACCTCTTGAGAATGATTCCTTCCGACGGGTGGTGATCATGAAAGCCAAGGCAGTTTTACATATTATTACAGTATGAACATATTAGTTTTAGATCAGCTGAAAATAATTCAACGTCAAATGTATTCTGTACTACTTCAGAAAATCGTTAAGCAAATGGAGCAAATCTCTAAGTCGTTGTATATCTGGAGGCAGTTAATAGGTTGAAGATTTATTTTGCTTAATTTGTCTTGTTCTGATAGTAATGGCCTAAAATTCAATAGACTTACGATCCAAAATGCTTTGTTCTTCAAATCTATAAACTCTACGCACCCTCTGAAATAATTCAAATCTTGGCAGGTGAAAGCAAGCTAACAACAGCACTTCAGATGAACAAAATGTGAATATTTTTTTTCTTTAATACAGCTGTTGAAAATCATCGAAAGACAAACATAGGCGGACCCAAATTATCATTAGGCCTATCAATAGTGGGGAACTTTAACCCAACCTAAAACACAACTGGATTGTCATAAAGTTGCAAAACTACTCAAACTTGTTCTATCGTGTTTTCGCAGGAGGAAATCACGGTAGTGTTGTCACAAAACTTAAGGTTAAATCGAGAGGTCTCGTTTGCTTTAGTCTTTTTGTCTAAACCCCCTACCCTATAAGCCTCAACATTTACATGCCGTTCTAAACACACCTTATGTTTCATGGCGCAGTCCCTGATTTCCTCACTTACTAGGGGGACACCCAGATTCCTACAAATGCCGCTATTGCACACATGCCAGGTATTTTGTGTTTTGGATCGATATTATAACACTATTCAAATTCAATTTTGGTGAGTTTACTAAATTTTTGTTTGAAATTCGCATAAACAAATTTACATTTATTTAGCTTTATTTTCCATAAGTATGTCCATTTACGCATATTGTCAATTGCTTCCTCTAATTTTTTGTCCATTCGCCAACATTAGATCCTACTGCCAATATTGCCGTATAGTCGGCAAATGTAGTCACAGTAATATCCTCTAAATCGCGCATAGGACATGTATAATATAGAATCCAGAATATTGCCTGGAGTCACGCCAACCTTAATTTCCCTAAGCTTGGATACCTATCGTCCTGTTTGATACGAAAATGCGTGTCATATAAATATGATTCAAGTAACTCCAGGAATTGTAATGGTAATATCAAAGTTTAAATAGTAAACCGTCGTGCCAAATCTTATTGAAGGCTTGGACTCAACTTTTATCCTCATGTGCTGAAGATGTTATCCTCTACAAATTTCATGTCTTCGCTATAATCGAAGGACAACATGAAAAGGAGCAATTTTTAGTTTTTCTAGAACTTTTAGTTTTTCTCCTCTTTGAGTTTATTTTTTTTTTAAGAATCCAATCCGTTTCTCTAACCAACTGTTCGTCATCTGTTTCGAACGCGACGCCATCTATTTTGTCTTTTTCGGTGCCATTTGAAATTGCATTTTGCTGTCTCAATAATGTTAAGTTCCCCGGTGGGTTTGGGAGTAGAAATTCTCACAGCAGATATGCTTGTATGCAAACAAAGTCCGATATAAATGCGGTAGGGAAGCCTATCAAAAAGTCGACGGAAACAACGGCTACCGACGAGGATTTAATTGAATGTTTAAAACCTTCAGAGAAATCGGCAGTAGAAAAAAATTTCTTAGCGAAATGACAATATTGCTGTTTGGCAAGATTACAAAGGTTGTAAAGTCTGCTCTTATGGGTGAAGTTCGATATCATCACAGAAGTGGCTAAGAATATTACTATAGCAAAGAAGGAAAATGATCTAACCGAGGTTAATCCACAAACCACCTTCCCACCAGATTTTGAAAAGACTTAGTCAATGTGCTCCAAGTAGTTCTTAGATAACAGTTTTCCTGAGCCTCATCCAAACTAAAGCAAATAAGATGTATCCCTGTTTAAGCTTCTTAACATTCATGCAGAACTATGGCGTAGCGCACTACCCTTTCCCTAGTTCGTGGGATCAAACATAAATACAGAGAAACAAAACAAAACGCAAGAAACACCAGGACGAGAAAACACCGTCACGAAAAGTGACAAGGTTGCAAGGGAAATTGGGATTAACCTGCGTGATGCTTCCTTCAGTAATGAAAAAAGGATAGGAAAAAAATATCAACGCATGTGACCGTTGGCGGAAGTAAGCCTTCCTTGGTCAGATGCTACCTGCGTTTTTTGGAGCAGAGAAAATCACCTGACGAGGCCAGGAATCTGGTGATAAACGGAGGAGGTCTATTGGAGACGTACCACCACCGGCTCAAGGGGCAAGCGCGGATGTGAGTCTCTGACACTCCAAGAAAGGCAGGTCTCAACGAAACTCGGGACAAGTTATTTTTGCTGAGGAAATACTTGTAATGTTGACGAAGCAGGAACTCACGGTTGGAAGAGGCGATAATCGGCGAGCTAGCCAAGGACTGAAACCAAGAGTGAGATAAGGGATAAGAGGGGCTGTTGGCACTTTCCAAATCTTTAAGAGGCCGGAAAAGGATAAGGTTTCGTCAGAAAATTGCCTTTCTTAATAAGAATATTTAGGAGCAGCTTGGTTCTTGGGTGCAGTATCCTAGGGATGCGCGTAGATAGGATAAATGACTTATTAACTAATGAATAATTTTTCCACTTAAATTGTTTGTGGATTAACAACATACGTTTCAGTGCTTTATTATGATCAGCGAAGCGAATGAAATTTTCGGCGAATATAAATTTTTGGTATTATGAATTAAAATTCTGTGTGGCAAGCTTGGCGAATGTAACCAAAAATCAAATTAATATGTAAGTGTTTTCTTTTTATTTAATGTTATAGTGATATAATGAAGAAATCTAAACCATCTGTAAAGTAAGTTCGTTAAATTCTACAAATAATTGTTAAAAACAATTGATTGTTTAATATTAATTTAAGCGTAAAAAAAACGAACAGAAAACAATTCGAGCATTCAAATAAATTAATAGACAACAATCCCGCAATTGTTAAAGGATAGAAAAGTTCAATTGTTTTTGCAAAAAAGCAAAAAAGCAAAAACAATGTACATATGTGTGGTGTTTAACCTTATTGTTTTCGGTAGTTCTTCTGGTGTCTTGTGGTAGCAACATTTTGGATCTGGCGAATGAAAGCATTCGGCGATCATAATTTAAAATATCAATCGATTCGCCCAGTCTATTCGACTCGTCTAGCCATTTGTTTCGCCGATCATAATAAGGGTAATAACTTAAGAGTTTCGAACGAAACTATTCGAAAAAATGCTATATTTCAGTAGGTTTGTAATACCTTTAATTGTTCGAGTGCCTCTTCGGTCTAGAGATTGTATTAAATAACCAGATTCGTTAGTCATTATTTTATTGTTTCGATCACGAAAAATTCGTGTGGTGTGCTTAAAAAAAAAAAAATTTACTTTGTTGGACGCAAAAAAAGACAAAATAAAACCTTACTATAACATCAAATCTTTGAAATGATGATTTTGTATATGGAAATCCAATAGGAGTAATTGTGCATATTATAAAAATCACACTCGTAATAGCAAAAATAGAAACCAAAATTTCAGATTTACGAAAAACGAAAAGCAAAGGAATCTGAAAATAACATTTTAATTAATTAAGAAAAAATAGGTAATTAACGCCATTTAGGCAGTAAAATATCTAAAATACCAAAAATCCTCCTATAAGAAATGCAAAGACAAATGATATTGCTGATATAAGCAGCTCCGGATTCGAATTACTAAAGCTCCTTCCGGTCATTGGAATAAAAGTTGTCAAAATGATGATTACCAAGTATGTGTAAAACATGAATGGTAAAATTTGTGATAAAACAGGAAAAACAATCCACGAAAGAGCTGTTGACGATTTTTAAAATTTAAACTATGTTTTTAATTTGAATAATTTTTCTTACATTTTCCTTGTAAAGTTGTTATTACGTTTAAAATTACAGCTATTGTGTAAAAAAGTATAGATAGCATAACAAGAAATCCTGAATGAATTTTCACAGCTGTTAAAATAAGTAGAAATATAACTTGGAGCAAACAATGTGAGTGCATGAACATTTGAATCTTATAATTAAGAGGAAAAAATTCATTCTGAAAAATAACGAAAGAATATTTCACAAATTAAGTTCAATTAGGAATATTGTTTGTTCAATAAAATTTAGTATTAATATGTATATAAAGAACATACCTCTTCAGTTAATTTTATGTAAATTAATGGCACTAAACTAAGTCCAAAAAATATTGTACAAAAATAAAGTCCTAATATTAACCAACTTTGTGAATACCAAGCCATAGAACAACCAATTATATCTAAAAAAAACGCAACTCCGATACCCAAACCAAAAGCGATCAAAACTGAAGCAACTTGTATAAGTAAAATTATAATAAACCTTGTTAGAATCCTTCGGCAGAATAACCCAGAACTTTTCTTCATTAAGCAAAATGATAAAATAATAGTAACAATAGCAATTGCCGATACACAAAAATTTATGATAAATGCTTCTGTTTCAGTGTAATTAATCAAAAACAGACCTAAAACATCATAGAAGATTGCTTGACTTGGATGTTCAATCTATAAATATTTTGTTAAATTCATTAACATGATAGATGAAATAACTTCTAAATTTTTTACATGGTAGTATTACTTACGGTAGGGTCTTTTAATTCATTCGAATTAGTAATAGCCATTACAATCGCCAATATGTTGTCACCTGTATTTTGTAGTGTACCTCTTGGAATTGAACTAATTTTATCATATGCTGTGTGATATACATAACCATTTTGTGAATGAGCGAAATCAAGTCCAGGGATGTTTCCAAAATCTCTGAAGATTCGAAAATCTGTATCTGACGGTATGAGACCGTTCTGAAACATTTCTTCAGCAATAGTTGATGCAAATGGGTGTTTAGCGACATTTCCATAATGCTAATTTAACAAAAATATATGTTAACTGTTTATGTATATTAAATACAAGACGATTCTTTAAAAAAAAAGTGCTCATTTTATTGATTTGCCTTTTCAAAAATTTTCTTTTGAAGGTCGAAGGGTTTCCTTTTAAAAAATTTTCTTTTTCTTGGAACGGAAAATACAAACAAAATACTTGGAATGGTAGAACTTTATGAAATTTTCTCGCATTCCAAAAACCGTTTGAGAGCTAATTTTAAGCAAAATCTTTACTTATTTTCCATATTCTAAAATCGTGTTGCTCAACCTGGGGACTGCGGCGCTTTCAGTCTTATAAAGGATTTTCCGTGTAATTATATATTTAAATAAAAATAAAAATATATACAAACTGAAACGTATGTATTATTATTTAATTAATACTCAGGCCTTAAAGCTGGAGGAAGGTGGGAGTAGTATTCATACCGAAGGCCAATCACATCGTTTCTTTTGAAGTTGATGGAGAAGATGCTGGATGTGCACATGAGGGCCACACTCGAAGGGGCCTCACCATTGCACGCAAAGCAAGTCACTTACCGGGCGGGAATGTCTACCGAAATTACTCTGCATCGCGTCACTCAGGAGATAGAAAGGACGTTGGAGACCAAACAGGTGGCCTTTGGGGCCCTCCTGGATATGGAGGGGCCATCGACAGTACGTCTTTTGGATCAATAATGAGGGCGGCTGCAAGAAAGGGAATTGAGGCACCCACCTTTTGATGAATTGGGACCATGCTGCGCTTCCGAAAAATTACGGCCAGTACGGGGGGCGCCAGCATTACTATCCGGGCCATGCGTGATTTCCCGCAGGTGTGGTCTTGTCTTCTTTCCTCTGGTGCATGGTGATGGATGGTCTGCTGTACAACCTGTCTCATAGCGGGTATAATATGCAAGGCTACGTTGATGATTTGGTCGCTATTATGAGCAGATGGAAGATTATTAAGAACTGGAGGCAAGCTGAGGGCCTTGGCATTAACGCGGGAATGGCAGTTATTGTACCATTTACTAGACGGTGGAAATTTAATTTGCGTCCGACATCGCCTGGGGGGCACAATCATTGAGCCCTCCAGGGAGGTCAAATATCTGGGAGTAAAATTCGATCAGCGACTGAGCTGAGGGCCCCATTTTGATGAAGTCATCGGTAGAGCCATCCGGATTCTATAGGCTTCGACGAAGTTGTATGGAAAAAAGAGGGGTCTTAGAGCTAAAATGGTCTACTGAGAGACTAAGAAGATCTAAAAATTTTAGTCCGAGGGAGAGAAAAATAGTAAAGCCTTACGTTGTGCATCTACTTGAAAGGCAGACCCCGTGTAGGATTTCGCAGTTTGATGATGCCTATCTGCGGTTTATTTTGGGGGTATGTATAGGGCTAATGCAGATGGGGATGAAAATCAGAAAATATCCTATGGGTCGACGTGAGAAGGACCTTAGGGTTTTGGTCCCGGGGAAAAAGAGAAAAATGTATTATTATGACAACATATCAATGTGATAATATACATACATAAACAGATATTGGACGATTTACTATAATATGTGATATTTGGAAGTAGTAAATGTTATGCGTTATAACAAAAATAAACATAATATGCAAAAGCTATGGTAAAAAGTGTGGTATAAGATATCAATCGCCTTCAAAATGGTAGCTAAAAAAATACCTAAAAACTCTTTTGTATAAAATTTTCTGTGTAATATATTTATATCTAACAAATCCCAATGATAAGACAGAAACTTGAAAACGCGACCTTATTTTATATGGGTTTTTTTTTTAAATTGAAAAGGTTATTTTTTGAAAAGAAATAAAATAAAGCAATAATTATTATAAAGTAGGTGAAATTCCGAAGTTGTATTTCAAATATGTATCTATTAAATATAATATTTTAATTCATAATTATTTAAAATTCCTAAAATACATCTACAAAAAAAAGCGGAAAAACTACCTCTGGCTTCAACATTTACGTGGTACTGAAAGCATTTCATTATTTTTAAGTGAATAGCCTTTTTTCTTAAAGGGTAAGTTAATTCAAGATATGACATGTAATTGTAATGTCAAGTTCAAAATATAATTAAAAAAAGAATTATTAAATATTTATTATTAATTATCAATAATAAAGAAACTTTACATTTTTGCATTAGAAAAAATAGAAGTTTTTTATTTTTAGGGAATTAGAAAATAATATCTAAAATAAAATTAAATATTATTTTACCAATACAAATTTGAGAAATTTCAAAACTTAAACCAATTACTTAGGTAAAAAACAAATTTTAAATGTTTTGAAAAATATAATCATATATTTTTACGACTTGTTTTGTTGATATTTTTTTTATTTTTGAAATAGCAAAAAATAGCCTAATAGTCTCATAGCTGATGACTCAAAAAGTTCGATTGCAAAATGACGGGTACTTATAAAAAATTTTGTCCGATTGCGTTTAGAATTAAAGTAGATCACACAATTACTTGTGAAAATATACACACATATACATTTTGTAAATAGATAACTCCCCTTTACTTGTTAAGAAAATTTATTAACAGGTTTCCTTCATATTTAATATGAAAGAAGAACACAAATAAATTTTGCAAGTGCAAAATATAATATGTACAAAAAAAATTGTTTATAAGTAGGTACATACATATGTATATATTTATTTTTAATAATTTAAAAACTAATTGAAATTATTTGAAAAAATTCTATAAGTATCGCTCAAATAACTGAAAGGTGTAATAACTGAAATTGCTGAAATGTACTGCGTTATATTACTTTCACTACCATTCTTGTTAACAGACAGTACTTAAATTACTTTATTGAAAAATACAAGATGCCCATAGAAAAATCATACATCCCTCCTTATTAATATTTGAAACCATACTGAAATATGAAGATGAAAAATTTTTTCTTTCTTCCTATCTTTGTTTTTCTCGTTCAACAGAATTTGAATAGGAAGCTTTTTAAAAAATGTGTATAAAATTTTTTTTTATTTAATAAAAGAAAAAACTAAAAAGAAATATGACACGATCAATGGAATTTAAAAACAAACGCAAGAACGAAGGGAATACTTCAACAGGGCAATCGGAATACTTAGTAAAAAAGATTAAGCGTTAGGACTTGTTAGATATAAAGACATTATTCTATATTTAAAAAAAAAGACGTTAAAGCTTTTTTAAGTAGATATCTTAAAGCAAATTTTATTGGCGGGTTTGTTTATTATAATATTTTAGTTCGTGTATAAGTGTTAAATGGGTGGCACAAATGACTTGAAATGAAACAATTAGGTTCTAAAAGTTGGTATGTAACAAAGTTTTTGGTTTGTTTGGTCAAAATTTGAATGCTTATTAATGAGTCTTCTTGTATAAATAAAAATTTGAATAAACTCATAACTTTAAAATTTAAAAATAAAATTATACTTTAATCAACCACGGAGCTGCCGGTCCTGATTGAAATAGAATTTCTCTACCTCCGTTTCCAGCCGAATCTAGGTTTATAAAAGCTCTAAAAAATTTTTTTGAGAATCAAAAAAAAATATTACAAAATATATGGTATGACGTCTTACTTAACATCTTTTGCCCAAACATGTTGTGTTATGAATGCATGAGACGCTTGCAAGCCAGTTTCTTCGGCACCATTAAATAAAAAAATAATTGGATGTTTTAATAATTCTTGACTATGTATTAAAACTCTTAATATTTCTAGCATGACAACGACCATTGTACCATCATCACCGGCGCCCGGACTTCCAGGTCGACTGTCAAAATGGCTATTTATTAATAAAGCTGAAGTACTTGTTGAATTAACTGGTGTTAATTTTACTATTATATTTTGAATGTTGCGATAAATATTGACAAAACCAAAAATGTAAAAGCTTCCATTGCCGAGTTGCTTGTTTACCTCGATTTTGAACTTGTTTGAAGCGGATATTTTAATTTTTTCAATTGCATCTAATAAAAGTTTTACAGTAGCTTGTTCATTATTTGCACTACCCACAACTCTCGGACCAATTCTAACCAAATCTTGAAGTCGCCTTTCAGCTCTTTCAGCTATAAATTCATTTTGCAAGCTTGTTTCATTGTTGATTGAGTAGGGTTTCGGTAAAATATTTTTTAAATGCCACCACACAAGGAAAATCAAAAAACCCCACAAGGTGAAATACAAACCTGACCAAAAGAAATTTAATTTGTTTTTTGAATACGTAATTTTAAGGGTTTTATATTTTGGCGCGAAAGTTGATGATGATCCCTAAAATAAAAATAATATAATTTTTTATGAATTTTTATGCGTGCTATGAATTAAATTACAAATATTGTTAAATCACAAAAAATATTATTACAATTAATATGAAAGTTACACTTAGTAATTCAGTTAAAATTAGCGACAGAATAGAACAGCTTTACACATAATTTTCATAGAAAAAGGACTTCAATAAGGCGCTTACGACATAAACTTTACAAAGTATCACATTCCAAAAATTTTACTAAAAGCTCTTAACATTGTACACTTTTCCTAAATGCGTTCTATACGTAGTTGGGTATCATGTCATATTCTTTTCTTTTTTTTACGTAAAAAAGAGTTTAATATTTTAAAAAATCTCAGGATATTATACACATTTTTTGAAAAGCTTCCCATTTAAATTCTGTTGCACGAAAAAGAAAGAAAGGTGGGAGGAAAGAAAAAATAAAAAAAAATTTCAAATTCATATTTCGGTATGGTTTCAAATGTAAATGAGGAAGGATGTATGATTTTTCATACACATGTTACCCAATAAGGTAAGTTGAGTAGTGTCGGCTAACAAAAATGTTAATAAAAGTAATATAGGTTGACACATTTCAACAATTTGAATTATCTCATTTCGGTTATTTATACGTTACTTATAAAATTGTTTCAAATAATTTCAGTTAGTTTTTAAGTTATTAAAAATAAATATGTATGTACATACTTCCAATAATTTTTTTTTAAATAATTATTTTAAAACTATTTCAAACATGTTATATTGAGTGCTTCCAAAATTTTGTTGCGCCCTTCTTTCATATTTTATTAGCAGGTAAACAAGAGCAATGTATTTATAAAATGGCCCTGCCTGAGTCTTAATAGTAAACGCAAACGGACAAAAATTGACATCAGTACCTACTACCTGTCATTTTACAATCGGAGTTTTTGAGTCAAGTTTTAAAATTTTTTTTCACAAATAGAGGTAAAATTTAAAAGTGTATATAAAATTTGTATTTAAAAAATAATATTTGATTGTATTTTAGATATGATTTTCCAATCCCCTCTTCAAATTTTTTCTTTACAATGTATTCATATCAATATTTAATAATTATCTTTCATTAATTATATTTTCAACTTGACACCACAGTTACTTCCCATATCTTGAGTTAACTTACCCTATGAGAAAAAAAAGCTTTTCACTTAAAAATAATGAAATGCTTTCAGTAACATATAAAACGTTTAAGTGGAAAGTTGTGCTTGTTGTTTTTGCGCTGTTTCAAGAATTTTAAAATAATTATGAATGAAAATATTAATATATTTTATTGATTTTTCAAATATATTTTCGAAATTTTATAATATAAATTCGAATAAGTGTGAATTTATTTTAATATTTCTTCTCAAAAAATAGCCACTTCGATTTAAAAAAAATCCATATAAAGTAAGGTCGTGCTTTCAAGTTTCTCTCTGAGCATTGGGATTATAAAGACATTACATGTCATATAAATGTTGCCAAAAATAACCAAACGAATGAACTAGCACATATTTTCAGCAATAAAGAGTTTCATTTGAAAACGTTGACCTTGTCAACTCTGTGATACCCGTACGAATTTGTTATCCTATGTGCGAATAACTAATGTGCCATAACTAACTATGGGGCAGACTATGACTTTAAGTTGCCGTATTACCATATTAATTTATGCAAAATTTCAGTACTATGTGTTTTTCAAAATACTGATTGTGCCAAACTACTATTGAAGTTGTATGGCAGCTACCAGAAAGAGCCAACAAATTTTGGCGAATTTTATCAAGCACATCAGCCCTACTAATATATTTACTTGTGTGAAATCTCAATATCACAGCTTTTATAGTTTCTGAGATATAGCCAAATAACTTTTGAAGTTGTATGGCATATACCAGAAGGAGCCAAGTAATTTCAACGACTTTTATGAGACACATTGGCCCTCCTAATATATTCGTTTGTGTGAAATTTCAATACAATAGCTTTAATAGTTTCTGAAATATAATCAAATAACTTTTGAAGTTTTATGGCAGGTACCTGAAGGAGTCAAGTAATTTCAACGACTTTTATGAGACACATTGGCCCTACTAATATATTCGTTTATGAAATTTCAATACCACAACTTTTATAGTTTCTGAGATATAGCCAAATAAATTTTGAAGTTGTATGGCAGCTACCCGAACCGGTACCCCGATCATGTCCAATTTAAATAGGGTTCTGGCACTTACTACAATAAATCATTTGTGAAAATTTGGTGAACTTAGCTGAATTAGTTTTTGAGTTATCGTTCGGACGGACGGACGGACGGACAGACGGACAGACAAAGCTAAATTAACTCAGAATTTGACGCTGATCAGAAACATACACTTGAGTCTATATCTAACACCGTTATTTCTTAGCGTTACAAACGGTAAGGCAAATTTAGTACACCCTTCGAACATACGTTCGTACGGGTATAATGACAGTCATATGCAAAAACAACTAATTATGTATTGTCAGCTTATGTACGAGTACTATAATTTATAAATAAAAAATACTTTTTCCAAAAAGCGATAGTCATTGGACTTAAATGACAATGAAAAACAAGAATTCATGACCTAGCGTTAAAAAGTATTAGAATTCATGATCTTTACAAATGCCATATATATCTCAGAGAGAACCTTAAAAATAAATTTCAAATTTATGTATATGTTTAAATAGAAGGGGTGTCGAAAATTATTTGTATGAAGGAAATTGATTAATACTTTTAGCTCCACTAGTTCCACATATTTTTTTTTAATTTAAAAATTAAATTTCAAAAAAATCGGTTTGTAAATTCTATCTTACAAATGCATTAAAAAAAATTGCAATTTTAAGCATGTATCACGGCTGACAGAAATACAGGCCTGGACCCTAAAAGAGAATGACACTTTACAGCCAACTAATTTACACGTATTCTTATGAGATTTATAGGGGGCCCTTTTTAACATCATAAATCTCCGACAAAATCAACTTTTCCAAATTTTTAATTAGAAAAACTTAATATTCAATCGTTTTCTACTTTACTAGTGCTTATATTTTTAAAGCTCTGTGTTATTAGAACATTAAAAAAATTTATTTAAAAAAACCTTTCAGGCTCTGTTCATTTTTTAAGATCTCAATAAATGCTACACTACAAGAAAAAACAGTGCGTCTTTTCGAAGAATTAAGTTGATTTTTGTGAATTTTTTAAAATTTGAGAAAATGTACATTTAATATTCACAAATTTGCTAATTAGGTATGAAATGTTTCCCACAATGCGTACTTCTTATATAATCACATATATATTTATATATTTTCCATGTGTATTATATTAATTAAATCGATATGCTTCATAATTCATAAAATTGCCAACTATTGCAACAAGTACCTGTCGATTCGATAGGCAGTAGGAGTAATCTTACCAAACGTACTCCACCAGAAAAAACAACCAATGCTAAAAGTGAAAAATATATTGCACTAGAAAAAAAAGTAAAAGAAAATGAAGAAGTAATAAAAAATTTACTCAACGAAATAAAAGAACTAAAAGCTGCTAACATGAAACTACAAGAGTCGATGACCAATGCAAATAATGAAAAAAAACCCAAAAACATTATTAGAACAATATCAACAAGTGAAGAGGACTTCTCAGGATTTGATACAGATCCTGATTTAGTGTGAAAAACTAAAACACAAAAATATAACTCAAAAAAAAAGGAAAGCTAATTCATCTCCGGACGTCAATATTATTACAGAGCCTGTCAAGCCAACTTACAACATGCAAATTAGTAATGAAAAAGAGCCTGCTCATATGAGAACAAGAAAACCGCCTCCTATAAACATTACTGGGATAGATGAATATAAACAGATCCAAGACTTAGTATCATCGGCTATCAAAGAATTCAAGATAGTGTCTCTAAGTAATAACAACTGGAAAATTAACCTACAACAACCAGATGACTACCGTGCTCTAGTTAAAAAATTAGAAACAGCTAAAATATCATGGTATACCTATGAAGATAAAAATGATAGATACATAAAAGTAACGGCCAGAGGCTTACACGGCTCTTGTGGCAAAAATGAAATAATTAAAGATCTAGAAGCCCAAGGTCTAGACATAAAAGATGCTGTCAATATCCTAAAAAAAGAAAAAGCACAAGATAAAAATGGCAATCAAATAACATATAATCGAAAACTACCTCTATTCATGCTTATCTTTGGCAAAAATGAAAATATTCAAAAAATATACAACATAAAATCAATTCTAAACTTAATAATCAGAATTGAACCCATACGAAAAAAACCAAACGAAATACCACAATGCAAAAAATGTCAAGGTTTCAACCACACAAGATCCTATTGCAATAGGGAACCTAAATGTGTTAAATGTGGAGGAAAACACCATAGCACGGAATGTAAAATAAGCAAAGACACTCCCCCAAAGTGTGCAAATTGTGACGGCGTTCATCCCGCAAACTATAGGGGCTGTGAAGTTGCAAAAGAATTTCAAAAAAAGAGGAACCAATCAATGAAAGATAGAAATAAGAATGTGCGCTTTCCAAATAAAGATGCTGTGATAAGAAACGAAAATAAACAACCTGTGATACAACCTGTGATAACCAAAAATAATAACCCAACTGTGATAACCCAAAGTGCAATAAATGATAAAAAATCAAATTTGAATAAAAAACCCCTATATGCTGATGTTGCTAAAACTGATGCGCGGTCAAGAACTTTAGAAAACACACTTGAATTGATCCTAACAAAACTAGAAGAGCAAAAAACTAACCATTTACAACTATGTTTAAGAATAGACAGATTAGAAAATATAATTAGCACAAACACATTTAAAAAATGAATCAAACACTAAGAATTATGACATGGAATGCTAATGGCTTGTTAAAACAAAAACAAGAGCTAGAAGTTATTCTAAACGAAGAAAAAATAGATATATGCCTGATTTCAGAGTCACATTTTACTTCTGAAAGTTACCTGGAAATAAAAAATTTTAAAT